CCCTGCCACCCATGAGGGGGACCCAGATGAAGCTCCTGGCTTTGGCCTGGCCCAGTGCAGCAATCTGGGGAGTGAACCAGCAGATGGAAGATCTCTCTCTCTCTTCCCCTCTCCTCTTTGTAACTCTTTCAAATAAAGAAATATTTTTTAAAAATCTGTAGAAACTTCCCAAAGGTTAATGAGATTATTGAAAGGTCTGCACAGAAGAAAATGCTGTGAGACTATGGGCTGCCAGTTTGGTAAATAAACTTTTTTTTAAAAAAAAGAATTATTTACTTGAAAAGCAGAGTTACAGAGAGGCAGAGGGAGAGAGAGAGGTCTTCCAATGGCTGGTTCACTCCCCAGATGGCTGCAACAGCCAAAGCTAAGCCAATCTGAAGCCAGGAGCTTCTTCCAGGTCCCCCACACAGGTGCAGGGGCCCAAGCACTTGGGCCATCTTCTACTGCTTTCCCAGGCCACAGCAGAGAGCTGGATCGGAAGAGGAGCAGCCAGGACTTGAACCAGTGCCCATATGGGATGCTGGCACTGCAGGCAGCGGCTTTACCCGCTCTGCCACAGCGCTGGCCCCTAAACGTTTAAAAAATATAACAAGCATGTTTATATTATCCTATTCTGAGAGACCACAAAAGGAGGGTGATCAAGGAGTTATCTCGGAACACATGGCTGTTCGTGGAGGGCATGTAAGCAGGGTACCCCAGGATTGCATCGTTTTTAGCCCCTCACCCACCACCACCTCTTCCCATGTCCCAGCTCAACTCTCTCTCCTCACTATCCTCTTCTTTGCAGATTCCCCTACTTTCCCCACGAGATGTAGTAAAGTGCAAGGCTGAGCGTCAGACCATCTGTGTGACTCTGAGTAAGTGAACTGAATGCCTTTGTGCCTCAGGTGCCTCACCTGTTCAATGTTAATAAAGGCACATAACTCTTGGGGCTGCTGTCAGGATTAAAAGAGAGAGTATGTAGAGTCGTTAGGACAAAGGTTGGCGTATAGTCAGTGTTCAACAATTGTTAACTATTATCATTAGCAGGTCACAACAGCAGTATCCAATAATGGTTAAGGAAACCAGGTTCTGGAGTTAAGACCACCTGGATTCGTAAATACCGTTGACATTGTGAAAATCACTTACCAGCCCATGGCCTCAATTTCCTCATCTGTAAAATGGGAATAATAGTACCACCTACCTTCTACAATTACTGTCATAACAGTATTGTATACTGTATGAGACAGTCTATTTGAAAGCCTAGCACCTGGCAGTCTTTCTCTGGAGCGCTCTCTTGAAACCTACAGTAGTACATGGCTTCCGCCAGATATGGGGCGGGGCAAAGCAGTGGAGACGAGATAGCAAAGCATTAAGTAAACATTTGTTGAGGGGTAGGCGTTTGTGGGCACTAAAGGCACCTGGGGACACCCACAGCCCATGAGCAACCCGGGTTTTCTTTCTACAAAGTACTCAGCACCTTTTTACTGAGGGAGTAAATTGGCGGCTCACTTCCAGCTTGTTAATAATATGCACCCTGGAAGGGTAGACCAGATGGCTTCCCAGCTCCTGGCCCATGCCCCACTTTTGTGGGCACTTGGGAAGTGAACCAGCAGATAGAAGAGCTGTGCGTATCTCTGTCGCTCCACCTTTCAAATATACAACAACAACAATAAAAAAAATTTTTTTTGAATGCATCAAGCCTTCCCCGAACGAGCAGTTCTCTGTAAAGGATGTTTCTAGCCTCTGAGAGGTGGACCTGGAATGGACCACGGTTGTGCAGGGCACCTCCCTTCGACCCTAGCCCCGGCTTCCCTCGGGGACAGGGAGGCCAGAAGGTCTGGAAACAGCCCTACTCCCTTCACGTAACGCTACTACATAGCGGTGTCCAAAAGTGGTGAAGTCATACACAGTTGCAAACGTTGCGGGGAGGGAGGAAGTGTAAGAGAGCCAACCAGCCTTTAGGTCGCGCGAGCATTTCCTTAAAACTCCCGCCCACCGCTGCCAATCGAGTCCTCTCAGCCGCTGGAGGGCGCTACGCATCCCAATCGTACACTCTATGGTCGCTCCCATAGCCTCCCATGAGGAAGTGCGACTGGGAACCGCCTATATACTTCCGCTTCAGGCCGGTTCTCTTTCTTTCCGAGCCGATAGCGTTCCGGCAACATGGTAGGATTTTGGTGTGGGGGCCCGAGAATATCCAGTTTAATCTTCCCACCCGGCGTCATCCATGCTGTCCCGGGTTGGGTCCAAGCTCCTGTAGGGACTTAATGTACCAAATAAGGCCAGTATTGCTGGGATCAACCTCGAAGGAACGGGCTCCGGGGCTAGGAATGGAAGGGATGGGCTCTAAGAAGTAGAAGACTGAGCCGGGCGTGGAGTAAGATCTCCGCGCTCTGGGGGGCTGGCGGAGGGCACTCTCTCGGAAGCCCTTGGGAGCTGGACCACCGCACTCAGCCACTGGAGCGCAGTTTAGAGTCGAGTGTTTGTGGGACTTCGGCCGCGTCTGCTGGGTCGGGTGCGGTGTTAACGCCTTGTGGTCTGATCTAACGCTGCACGTCCTGAATGGTTTGTTTACCAGGTGAACGTTCCGAAAACCCGCCGGACCTTCTGTAAGAAGTGTGGCAAGCACCAGCCCCACAAGGTGACACAGTATAAGAAGGGCAAAGACTCTCTCTATGCCCAGGGTAAGAGGCCTGCGTGTCATTGGTTTTAATACCGCATTGGTGAAGTGTGATCTACGACTCGAGACTTTGTGTTTTCTCTCTCGGGTTGGGCATTGGTATTTCTGCTGGCCAACCCAGATAAACCCGTGAGACGACTGTGACTTAAGGTCTTCGAGATACGATAACCAGTAACTTTTTTTCCAGGAAAGCGGCGTTATGATAGGAAGCAGAGTGGCTATGGGGGACAGACTAAGCCGATTTTCCGGAAAAAGGTTAGTGGAAATGACGTGTTTCCTACTTACTGTGGTCAGCACACATGCTTCACAGCATCCTAGGTGTAGTCCCAAGGAAATTGCTGCACCTTTTTTTTTTTTTAACTGCAACTAATTACAGTGACAGGTAGTACGCACTGGAGCTGGGAGTGCAACCCAAATTTGCTTCCGGTCTACAATACTGTACAATGCTGGCATTTAACTTATTGGGGGGCAGGGCTCCTTTTTTGAGGAGGCAAAAAATCAAAGTCTGTTAAAGTAGCCAGTTAGGCCATACACTGGCCTCTTCAATTCTACAGGCTGAATAAGTTGTCTTACCCTAAGCGATTCGGCTGCCATTGAAAGTAACTAGCATGGTTCCTGGAGCATAACATTCCAAATCGCCAACATTGCATTGTTTTTGGCACTTAGCTCTGGTTCCAGAAAATATTAAGGAATGATTTTCGTGTTCATTTGAGTGCAATGAATTGTTTGATCTTGGTGGTGAAGGGATGCTCAGGGGCCTTTTTACATTTGGGTAACCTGTTAAGACAGTTCCAGTTGACTACAAGTTTGGAGTACAGCTTGAGATTAGTATAGCTGAATATATGTAATTCTAGACATGATTGTAGATATTAGAATTAATTGATGATAAGTCTTAAGTAAGAACCCTATTCAGTGAATTACACAATTTGACTATTTCACAGTTGTATGACTTATTAAACCTTTTTTTAAAAGATTTATTTATTTGAAAGGCACAATACAGAGAGTCAGAGACTTAGAGATCATCCATCTGCTGATTCACTCCCCAATTGGCTGCAACGGCCAGACCTGGGTCAGGCTGAAGCCAGGAACCTGGAATTCCACCTGGGTCTCCCACGAGGGTACAGGGGCCCAAGTACATGGGCCATCTTCTGCTTTCGCCTGGCTCATTAGCAGCGAGCTGGATCGGAAGTGGAGCAGCCAGACTCGACCAGGGCCCATATAAGATGGTGGCTTAACGTGCTGTGCCACAATGCTTTCCCGAACAGGTTTTTGATTGTGTGAAATGCTGTGCTGAAAGGCCACAAGTTCAAGATTGCATAGTGAGTGCGTATTTGGGAGGAAGTGCTTTAGGGTGTTTGTTCTGAATGTAGATTAGTAGGATGTGATGGTAACTGGATAACCCCACCACCTTTGCTGTTGCTACAGATGATTATTTTCTAATAGTTCAGGGAAAATTGGTGGTGACTCATTAGCAGAACATTGCTCTAAGTAGTTTACAGACGTTTTGGAAGAAACTGATTATCTGCTGTTATTTGTGAAGAGTTTGGTTTTGATTTTTTTTTCCAGGCTAAAACTACAAAGAAGATTGTGCTGAGGCTTGAGTGTGTGGAGCCCAACTGCAGATCCAAGAGAATGTTGGCTATTAAGAGATGTAAACACTTTGAATTGGGAGGAGATAAGAAGAGAAAGGTATGTATTATGCGTGGAAGGTGCAACCTTGTCTATATAGCTTTGTTGTCTTTGAAAAGGAAAACATTCTGCTCACTCATCATGGCTTAGAGATCAGGGGCAATTCATTGGGAAAAGAAACAGATCCATAGCTGAAGGTTCAAGACTTTTAGGTTTTGGTTTCACTAAGGACAGGAAGGAGATTTGCCTTAATATAGAATGAATTCTTTAGGATATATGTTATGGATGGAGCAGGGGTTCTTTGCAAGAATTACAAAACTCAGGGCTTCTTTTGTTTTATTACAGGGGCAAGTGATCCAGTTCTAATCTTCGTCTTCTGTTTTGCTATGAAGACAATAAAATCTAAAGGTTACCACTGTTCAGTTCATTTGGTCTTTTGGAAGGGAATGAACCAAAGCCATCAATAAAACTCCTCTTGGAAAATTTTAAGTTTCATGGTTCTGCCGGGTAATACTCATTTCTGATAGAATTTGGTTGAGCACACATCAAATGTTGGATTATGTAATGTGGCACTTGAATCGCTTGGGACTTCATTGGATCCCATTTGCTGTTGAGCAAAGGACACTGGTTACACATGCCGCATACATAGAGACTTAGGTTTCAGACTAATGGGGGAGTCCAATGACATCCATAATCTCACATACTAAAGTCAGTTGGTAAGGAATTTTTATTCCATTTTAAACACAGTATATTAAGAATTCCACAGCCCTTTTAAATACATAGTAATTTGTATAAAATACAAATTATTCCTATTATGCTGAAATAACTGCAAGGAATATAATTTCTGGTATAGTAAGCTTCCCAGTGGAATCAAGGCTATTCTTTTTTTTTTTTTTTTTTTGGACAGGCAGAGTGGACAGAGACAGAAAGGCTTCCTTTGCCATTGGTTCACCCTCCAATGGCCGCTGCGGCCGGCACACCGTGCTGATCCGATGGCAGGAGCCAGGTACTTAATGCTGGTCTCCCGTGGGGTGCAGGGCCCAAGGACTTGGGCCATCCCCCCACTGCACTCCCTGGCCACAGCAGAGAGCTGGCCTGGAAGAGGGGCAACCGGGACAGAATCCGGCGCCCCAACCAGGACTAGAACCTTATTCTGTCCATTTTTAATAGTGTTTATTTAGGGGCCTGGCATTGTAGGGTAGTAGGCTAAGCCTCTGCCTGCGGTGCTGGTATCCCATATGGGTGCCCGTTTGTGTCCCATTCAGCTGCTCCTCTTCCAATCCAGCTCTCTGCTATGGCCTGGGAAAGCAGTAGAAGATGGCCCAACTGCTTGGGCCCCTCTACCCACTTGAGAGACCCAGACGAAGCTCCTGGCTTTTACTGCCATTTAGGGAGTGACCCAGCGAATGGAAGACCTCTCACTCTGCCTATAACTCTTATCTCTCAAATCTTTTTTTAAAAAGTGCCTATGTGACAGTTGCCAATTATATATTTTCCTCTTCCTCTTCAGTCTTCCTTAGCTCTTTGGAGATCTGCAGCAAAACTGTAGTTTGGTTATTGGGAGAGCATCTCAAGTGGAACAGTTAACTTTCAAATTAGTTTATGATGAGCAAACCTAGGCTTCATAGTTCTATTTCAACTTTTATTAGTTGGTGATACTAGCCTTCCAATTTTAGCGAGAAATAATTGGTAGTCACCTGACAGGCAAGAGTTAATAAAGATAGAATGGTAGATTTGCCATCTGCTGGTTCACTGCCCCATGTGCTGCCCCCCAAGTACATGTAAGGATCTGGACTGCAAATGCAGAGTAGTGGGATTCCAACTAGGCACTCTGATAAGGGATGTAGGCATCCCAAGAGGTACCTTAACCCACTATGCCACAACACCTTCCCCTCAGCATGTACTGTATTCTAAGAATTTCCATATGTCTGCATTGGCTAGGGCTGGGCCAGGTCAGATCTCCCATGTCAGTTCCAGGGACCTAATCACTTGAGCCTGCTGACCTTCCATGGTGCTATAAGGGGATGGAGGACTTTTCCAGGGGTATCCTATTACTGTGCCACTGTGTTTTGAATGGAATTCTTTAGTAGTAGTATGTACTTTTTTAAAGTTTAAATCATTTTCCTTATGATTTTGTTTAAGGAATACAACTTCATGTGTATTGTGCATTTTTTAAAAATATATTTGAGGGCCGGCGCCGCGGCTCACTAGGCTAATCCTCCACTTTGCGGCGCCGGCACACCGGGTTCTAGTCCTGGTCGGGGCGCCGGAATCTGTCCTGGTTGCCCCTCTTCCAGGCCAGCTCTCTGCTGTGGCCAGGGAGTACAGTGGAGGATGGCCCAAGTCCTTGGGCCCTGCACCCCATGGGAGACCAGGAGAAGCACCTGGCTCCTGCCATCGGATCAGCACGGTGCGCTGGCTGCAGCATGCCGGCCGCGGCAGCCCTTGGAGGGTGAACTAACAGCAAAGGAAGACCTGTCTGTCTACTCTGCCTGTCCAAATATATATATATATATATATGTATATTTGAAAGGCAGAGTTAGGGAGAGGCATCTTCACCCACTGGTTCACTCCCCAAGTGGCTACAACGGTCGGGGCTGGACCAGGCTGAAGCCAGGAGCATGGCATTGCATCCTGGTCTCCCTTGTGGGTGGCAGGGGCCCAAGAATTTGGGTCATCTTGCACTGCTTTCACAGGCCCGTTGAGTACTGGAGGTGGAGCAGCCACTACAGTTAGGGGTGCTAGCTAGCATAGCTGGCCGCTTAGCTTGCTGCACAATGTGGCCCCAAGGTGGTTAATACCTCCTGTCTACTGGTTGTATCCCCAAATACTTAAAATGCCCTGCTTGTCTCCTCCCACCCTTCTCCCCTCCACCTATGAGCTGAAGCCTGGTAGCAAGGAAGTCAATCCAGGTCTCCCATGTAGGTGGCAAGTATCCGCTTTAGCACAAAGCTCAAGTCAGGAGCCAGGACTTGAACACAGGCACTCTGATAGGGGATGCAAGCAAGCATCTTAAAACTGGTGTAACCACTATAGGCCCAAACACTCTACCCCATGTTTGTGGACTTATCATCATTCAGTTGAGGCAGGTTTCCTTTTTTGTTTGCACTAAGATTATAAACAGGCATCCCAAGCACTTCAGTAGGCAGCAGTATAGTGTGTTAAGAGCTTGGTGTTAAATCCTGCTCTGAAATTACAGTGGGCACATAGCTGCCTTAGAGTTGGTATTCAAGTAGATCAATACACCTTAAGCATCTCAGTGTCTAGCACCAAGTACACAGCAAATGACAGCTATTGTTTTCCAACTGGTTCAAGAACTTTTGCCCAACTTCCTCTAGAAAGTTCCAACTTGGGAAAATTTTACTCAAGGACATAGATTTATTTGAAAGAATGACAGAGATGTTCTGCCCACTGGTTCATTCAGAATCAGGCAGGGCTGGGCCAGGTGAATGCCAGGAGCCAGAACTTCATCTGAGTCTCTTGCATTGATGGCAGGAACACAATACTTAGGGCGTCACCAACTACCTCACATTTGGAAAGCAGCTGGATCAGAAGTGTGGAATAGCTAGGACTCGGGTCAGGCACTCAAATAAGGGATGCAGGCCAAAATGTATCTTAACCTGCACCATGATGGCTGCCCCTGAGATTTGCATGTTAAGGAGCTGGCCCTCTGAAGAAGGAAAGGTCAAGGCAAAACGCAAAAGCAAGTGTCAAAGCCCTGAGGTAGCAGTATGCTCGTGGTGTGTGAGGAACAGAAGGAAAACTGGTACAGTGAGGGACTAAGCCATCACTCTTGGAGCTTGGATGAAATAGTGGGCATGGAGGAAGTGATGGATGTGAACATCAGTGTGATGTAGTCTTACTTGTCCCACCTAGCTGGAGCAAAACGGTGCCTGTGGGATTTACTCGGGTTTTTATGCTTGAAGTCCATGTATAGAACCCAAGTTTCCTTTTCTCAGGGAGGAGCTGTGTGATGAGGCAGGCAGGATTACATGCTATTCCTCTTCCAAGGGAAGCAACTGCGATGGTATAATAACAGGGTCCACCAATTTCCTGCAGGTTCATAACGGCTACAGCCCAGGATAAGTTTGAGAGGGGTCGTTCCCACACCTCAATGCTGCTTTCCTGAAAAACAAGGGAATAGGTGTGATTGCTTGGTAACCAGTAATAAGTTGCCCTTTTAGTTTGTCATTTGATCTTACTGTCAGAACTATCAAGCACTTACAGAAAAGGTTAAAGTTAGCCTGTAGCAAGCATATTTTGAAAATAATGGTTCAAGCAAAAAGCCTGACTACTGATTATAGGATTGAAGTCAAAGGAAAAACCGCTCCTAAAAGATCATTTCAGGGGCTGGTGTACACTGGTGCCCCATGTGAGAGGGCTGGTTTGAGTCCTGGCTGCTCCACTTCCAAACCAGCTCCCAGCTAATGCACCTGGGAAAGCAGTGGAGGATGGCCCAAGTGCATGGGCCCCTGCCACCCACCTGGGAGACCCAGATGAAGTTTTGGGCTCCTGACTTCTGCTTGGCTCAGCCCTAGTCACTGACCATTTGGGTAGTGAATCAGCAGATGGATGAGCTCTCTTTGTCAGTGCACTTCAAATAAATAAACCTTTAAAACCAGTTCATATCCTCATATGTAACAGAGTTAGACCCAGGACGAATGTGGTAGTTGGGAATAGAGCCATCTTAATAAAGTACACACACAAACATTTGGCTGAACTTTAGAGAAAGCGAGAACATGTTCCTGGCCTGGGTTCTCCCCCAGAGCATTATTTACCTTTCTAAGCAGGTACCCCTGCTTGCCCAAGGGGTCCTGGTTGATGGCAATCACATCTTTATTCTGAAGTAAACTTTTGGCTTGAGGGCTGATGTGTCTGAGGTCATTAGACATGATTAAAGGAGCTGCCATGATAGCCCAGAGAGCCATCTGAGTTACTTGTTGATTCCAGCTGAGGCCAAAGTTGCCAATCACTAACTGAGACAAAGAAAGAAATAGTTCAAATGAAGAAAAGATGAACCAATCTGAAAGGTACCTAGATGCCCCATAGAGGGGAATCACGTTAATAAGCATTCTGCTCCAAGCACTCTCCTGGAAAGCCTCCCAAGAACTTAACCTCTACTTACCTTGAATGGCAAACAGGAAACAGGCCGAGTTCAAGGTGATGGACAAGGAGGGCTCAGGTTCTTACCATATCTGGGTCATTCCAGCCCCCTGGTCCAGCGACATCAACAATTTTCTCCTGGTTAGAAGATGTCCAGGCCAAGATACTCTTTATACTTTCCCAGGAATCATAAATGTCAGCAGAATTTCTCCAGTGATTGCAGTATGTCCGAATTTTTGTGTAATTGGGCTGTGAAAACAGGACAGATGCTTTACTTTTTTATCATCCTTGTGATATGAAAAGAGTCCAACTTAAAGGCAGGCAATTGTAGCCTTTAGTTTACAGAGACTATCTTAAGAAGTTTGCTTCTGAAGTAGGCCATGTAACTTAAAATCCTTAGTTGAAGGGACTTTAATACTGTTAACGCTGGGAATATGAGTTTGTGGAAAAATGGAATTTTTAAAAAAGATTATTTATTTGAAAGGCAGAGTCACAGAGAGATCAATCGGTCTTCCATCTGCTGGTTCACTCCTGAAATAGCCACAACATCCGGGGCTGGGCCAGGCTGAAGCTAGGATAGGAGCTTCTTCCAGGTCTCCCACGTGGATGCAGGGGCCCAAGCATTTGGGCCATCTTCCGTTGTTTCCCCCAGGCATATTACCAGGGAGCTGGATTGGAAGTGGAGCAGCCAGGATTCAAATTAGCGCCCAAATGGGATGCCAGCGCTGCAGGTGGAGGCTTAGCTTTCTACACCACAGCACTGGCCCTGGAAAATTGGAAGCATAAGTTTATTTTGGTACAAAAATAATTTTCAGGGGTGGGTATTTGGCCTAGCAATTAAGCTACCAGTTGGGATGCCTGTGTCCAACACAGGAGTGCCTCAGTTCAGTGCATGGTGTCAGATCCTAATTCCAGCTTCCTGCTAATTCAGACCCTTGAAAGAAGCAGTGATGGTGAGTGGTTGGGTTCCTGCCACCCATGTGGGAGACCTGGACTTTCAGGCTCCTGGCTTCAACTCCTACCCCACCCCAACCACACCCACACCCACCCCTACACACACACCATTGAAAGCGTTTGGGGAGTGAACCAGCAGGTGAGAGTGTGTGCTCTGTTAAAAAAAAAAATATGGGCTGGTACTATGGTGTAGCCGGTAAAGCTGATACCTGCCGACATCCCATGTGGGCCCTGGCTGCTCCATTTCAGATCCAGCTCCATGCTAATGCACCTGGGAGAGAAGCAAGAGGATGGCTCAAATGCTTGGGTCCCTGCACCCACGTGGGAGACCTGGATGAAGCTCCTGGCTCCTGCCTTTGGATTGGCCCTGTTCTGGCTGTTGTGGCCATTTGGGGAGTGAACCAGCTGATGGAAGATTCTCTCTCTCTCTCTTTCTCGCTCTCTGCTTATCTCTCTATGTAACTCTACCTTTCAAATAAAACAAAAATTTTCTGAATCCATGTAGTTTTTTTATAATACATATTTTTCACGTGTCATGGAAAAAGTTCAAAATTTTATACCCCAATTCTTCTGTACCTTTGTATACCAAATGGCAAGTACATGCTGAGATTATAGAGATTATTTTCTTTACACTTCATTATGTTTTCCAACTTTTTTAAAAAAAGATTTATTTACTTGAAAGGCAGTTACAAAGAGAGGGAGAGAGATCTATCTGTTCACTCCCCAAATGGCTGCAACAGCTGTGCTGGGCCAGGACAAACTGAAGCCAGGAGGCAGGAACTCCATCAGGGTCTCCCATATGGATGGCAGGGGCCCAATACTTGGGCCATCTTCTGGTGCCTTCCTAGGCACATCAACAGGGAGCAGGATAGGAAGCGGAGCAGCTGGGATTCAAACTGGAACACTTGCTATGGGCTGCCAGTGTCACACTTGGTGGCCTGAGCTGCTGTGCCACAATACTGGCCCCTCCAACTTTTCCAAAATAGATGTACATTGATTTTATAATCAGAAATAAGTAAAATGATTTTAATGAGTAAAAACAAAAGCTGCAAAAATTATACAGGACTCCATTAAGCATATATTAGAAAATCTGAATCTCAGTCACAAAATTGCTTAATGAAATGGATAAAAGTTTGTTGATAGATAGATGGGATATCTGAGGTTTAAGATGCCAAGAAAAAGATGAGATTACTTTGCAGAGAAAATAATAGGGATTTATCCCATAGTTATTACTTATTGTGTTAGGGTTACAGTAATAAAGTCAGACAAGGTCCCTGCCCTCATGGAGTTTACATCCTAATAAAGAGATAGACAATAAACAAGTCAACAAATACTTGTATGAGGTGCTAAGATCTTAGAGGACAAACAGATTACTGTGTTAATGGATAAAGTGTTGTTTTTTGAAGTAGTTAGAAAAGACCCATCTGAGTATGTGGCATTTAGTCTGACATTTCTTCCCTTTCTTTGGAAAATATATTTTCATCTACTTGAAAGGCAGAGGGAGGAAGGGAGGGGAGAGAGAAAGGGAGAGAAAGAGAATATGAATGAATATGAATCATTGTTGGTTCACTCCTCAAATGCATGCAACAGCTAGGGCTAGACCAGGCTGAAGCCAGGAGCCCAGAACTCCATCCAGGTCTCCATGTTGGGTGGCAGGAATCCAGGTACTTGGGCTGACGTCTGCTGCCTTGTAGGCACATCAGCAGGAAGTGGGACTGGGACTCGAACCAGGCACTCCAATATGGAGTGTGGGCATCCCAAGAGATGGTTTAACCTGCTGTGCTACAGCCCCTGCCCCTGAGATTTCAGTGCTATGGAGCTGGCCCTTTAAAAAATCCTGGGGATGAATGGTTCAGGCAGACAATTAAAAGCAAGTATCAAAGCGCTGAGGCAGCAATATGCTTACGGTGTCGAGGGGCCCAAAGGATACTATAGTGAGGGAAGGATTCATCACTGTTTTGGAAGTTGGAGAGGCAGGCAAGGGCTAGATGAGTGGAGTCTGACTACTCCAAGTGCAATGGGAAGCCAGTTAAGAGTTTTAAGCAAGGGAATCATATTTATATGCCAACGAGATAATTCTGGTGCAGCTTAGAAAATAGATGGGGGTTGGGAAAGAATGGAAGTCAAGATATCAGGCTGTCAGAGCAGTGTCAGGGAGAGATGCTAGTGTTTTGGAAGGCCAGGGTGGATGCAGTGGAGATGGGAAGATGTGGGCTGACTCAGGATAGATTTCAGAGATAGCACTGTCATGACTGCTGACGGATAGGACATGAATGATGAGATAAAGGGAAGACTCGCCCAGGATAACTTCCTAGGTTTTGGTAGCTTGGACTACCATCTGACAGTGGTGATGGTAAGAGGTGGTCAGATCCTGGGAGAGATGGTAGGATGATACTATTAAAGAAGGTTGGACTCTGAAGGAGACCCCCATTCCTTTGCTCTCAAGTTCTGAAAAATCTATCAACCTGGCTCTATTGGATTCTGGGCTCACTAGCTCACCTTATGAAAGGGCCACATATAAAGAGGCCACTCACAGGAGTATACAATGCTTCTGCCAGTCCTGTTCAGAGCCAAGGACATGTACTGATAACCTGTATGAGAAAACAATGGGTAGAATAAGGGCAAGAAGAGAATTTCCAGCTGGGGAGCTTTCTAGATATTTTACGAGCCTGCTTGGAAGGTCCATGATATATATATATATATTTATATGTATAAATTTATATATATTTTAAATTATAATATACATAATTTTTTGAGAAACAATATTATCCCAGGCTTTGTGGTAAAGAGTCTGGTTTCTTTATTTATAAGAGATACACACAACTCCCATCTGCTGGTTCACTCCCGAAATGCCTGCAACAGCTGAGGCTGGGCTGGACAAACGCCAGGAGCCAGGAACTCAATCTAGGTCTCCCAGAGGAGTGGCAAGGACCCACCTACTTAAGCCATCATGGCTGCCTCCCAGCATCTGTATTAGCCAAGCTGGAGTCAGGAACTGGAGCTGGGTGTTAAAACCAGGTACTCCAGTGTAGAACGGGTATGTGAATTGGCATCTCATGAGGCCAAATGCCCACCACTTATGTTTTTAACCAGCAGCAGGGACACATAGTGCTCTGTACTTAAATTGTGTATAGTATCTTCCAGACTGCTGGGGTTATTCTGAAAGGTAGTGTAGAGATGGTATATATATTTAGGAGAGGCAGGACTGCAGATGCTTCCTTCTTTGGGACAGTTTGACATCCTGAAATCTTCTCTAAATGATATTATAAAGAGACAAAAATATAAATTCTAATTAACACTTAGAGTCTTCTTGATTTAAAAGTGTATAAATAAGGGGCTAGTGCTGTGGTGTAGTGGGTAAAGTCAACGCCTGCAGTGCCGGCATCCCATATGGGCACCAGTTCAAGTCCCGGGTGCTCCATTTCCAATCCAGCTTGCTGCTGTGGCCTGGGAATGCAGTGGAAAATGGCCCAAGTCCTTGGGTCCCTGCACCCACATGGGAGACCTGGGAGAAGCTCCTGGCTCCTGGCTTCGGATCGGCGCAGCTCCAGCCATTGTGGCCATCTAGGGAGTGAACCAGTAGATGGAAGACCTCTCTCTCTGTCTCTGCTTCTCTCTCTGTGTAACACTGACTTTTAAATAAATAAATAAATCTTTTAAAAAAAGTGTATAATACTAGCCATGCGTAGCCATGCATGGATTTTACATATATGAATAAATGAATGGAAGAGCAAACTGAAAGAAGAGGCAGGGACTATGGTGCATCGAGAATTAGTATTTCCAGTAATGTGTCTGGGCATTTAAAATCTGAAGATTAGTCTTGTGCCTCAGCATTTTTGCTTTTTGTCCATGACTAAATCTCTTGAATTAAACATACCTTCAATCAAATGCTTCACACTGTCACAGTGACAACCATCAAATTTTAGCAGATCTACTCCCCAGTCAGCAAAGGTCTGGGCATCAATGTCATAGTGGCCGAAACTCCCAGGGTACCCTGCACAGGTTTTATTTCCAACATCTGCATAAATCCCTAGCTTTAGTCCTTTGCTGTGGACCTGAAATGAAAGGAAAAGGAGAGTCACCACAATAGAAGGGTTATCATGAAGCAGCAGAGAGAACCGCTCCGGGCTAGGGGCAAAGACAAGTGCAGTTCAGCAGGTATTGAGGATGCTTTCCCCCACAACATCCTCAAAATTATCCAGATGAGTCTGTTGGGAGACAAAGAACAACTACCCCAATTCTGCTGAGGCAATTCAAACTATAGATATGACCTACAGCACAGAACTGAGGAGAAAGCCATCAGCCACTCTAATTTTCCTGATGGGATCCCAAGTTACCTAATCAAGCAATCAATGATAGGCTTATATTGACAAAGACTCTGTCTTTTTTTTTTTTTTTAAGAGGAAAGGTTTATTGTCGGTGAGGGAAGCCCCGACAGGAAGCCTCTGTCCTTGACCAAATTTTAGTTCAATTTCTCAGCCTTGTCCTCCACTAGGCCTGGACCTTGGCTTTCCTTTTTCGTCCTAGAGGGTCTGTTTTTAGCAAGAATCCTGCTAAGTTACTCCTCCCCTTCATATTTGATCAAGTTCTTTCATCCTCCCCTCCTTGATGCCCAAGTCCATGCCATCCCTTTAGCAAAAATCCTCCTATCCTTGGTGTCTTTTAGTAATTTTCTATCTACTAATCCCCTCAATCTGCTGACTGCAAATCCCCACTTGTCTTTGTTGTATTGATTTGAGCTTGGCTCTTTCCCCTATTGTATTAGTACTGTAAATCCTGTCTTCATTGCCTTAACTAGAGTTGAGCTCTATTTCTCTTCAACAATCTCAGAATATTTTCCAAAATTTTAGTTCATGGAACAGTTACAATAGCTTCCCAAAGCTTATATGGAAATACATGAATACATATGTCAATGATCCAATTCCTTTTTTTAAAAAGATTTATTTATTTATTTATTTGAAAGAGTTACACAAAGTGGGGGGAGGTCTTCCATCTGCTGGTTCACTCCCCAATTTGCCACAATGGCCGGAGCTGCGCCGATCTGAAGCCAGGAGCCAGGAGTTTCTTCCGGGTCTCCCACGCAGGTGCAGGGGCACAAGGACTTGGGCCATCTTCTACTGCTTTCTCAGGCCATAGCAGAGAACCAAATTGAAAGTGGAGCAGCTGGGACTAGAACCGGTGCCCATATGGGATGCTGGTGCTACAGGCCAAGGCATTAACCCGCTGTGCCACAGCGCTGGCCCCCCAATTCCTTTTATTTCTTAGAAAATTCAGTGCTTTCAGCAAAAGGAGGACTTCTTCAAGATAAGCTTCAAGAGCTACTGCAAGGGGCCAGCATAGTGATGCAGCGGGTAAGCTGTTGCCTAAGATGCCGGCATTCCATATAGATGCTGGTTTGAGTCCCTGCTGCTCCACTTCTGATCCAGCTCCCTGCTAATGCACCTGAGAAAGCAGCGGAAGATGGCCCAAGTGCTTGGGCCCCTGCCACCCACATGGGAGACCTGAAAGAAGCTCCTGGCTTCAGCCTGGCCCAGCCTTGGCCATTGTGGCCACCTTGGGAGTGAACCAATAGATGGACAATCTCTCTCTCTCTCTCTCTTCTAACTTTGACTTTCAAATCAATCAATAACTAAATCTTTTAAAAATGAAGCTTTAAAGAAAAGAGCTATTGCAAAACATACAGTAAATCTGCTGATGGGATGAAAATGACCTGATAAGCCTTACAATGCAAAGTTCGGATAACAGCAGGGACTCTATTTTCTGAGTGTCACAAGGGCTGTTTCTGAACAAGCTTCTGTACAGAAGTACTTTTAATCCCATGAATGAAAAAGGAAATTATCTATAAACTCACATAATCAGCAAGGCGGCGGATCCCCCCAGGAAAGCGCTGAGGGTCCGCCTGAAGCCTGCCTTCTGGATCTCTTTCGGGAGCCATCCAACAGTCGTCAATGCAGAGGTATTCATAACCGGCATCCTTCCAGCCATCTGAGACCATGAGCTCTGCCATCTGCATGAAGAGATGCTCACTGAAAGAAATTGCAGTAATTATTACAAGTCAGGAAAGGAATGCTCAGGTATCTCCTATTTGTCAGGCACCTTGGAATTACACAATTTTTTTTTCAACCCAGTAATAGTGTATTAGTAATCATAACCAATACAGGGTAAAATGAACTGTCCTTCCCATTTTCTCTCTGCACTACCCGTTTAATACTTCTACCCTTAAACCCCCAAACAATTAAAATAGCAAAGAGAAATACATGATGAAATCAAAGTCATTAAAGCTAAGTTCAGCAGAGCACAAAACTGCAGAGTGAAAGGCAGAGTTGCAGTGAGGCAGAGTCAGAGAGAGGTCTTCCATCTGCTGGTTTACTCCCCAAATGGCCACAATGGCCAGAGCTGAGCTGATCTGAAGCCAGGAGCCAGGAGCTTCTTCCAGGTCTCCCACGTGGGTGCTGGGGCCCAAGCACTTGGGCCATCTTCTTCTGTTTTTCCAGGCCATAGCAGGGAGCTGGGTCAGAAGAGGAGCAGCTGCGACTTGAACTGGCACTCATATAGGATGCTGGCACTGCAGGCAGTGGGATTTACCCACTATACCACAGCGCCGGCTCCAGGAATTTGCATTTGTAAAATCTTTGGACAAGTATGTATCAAAATGAATTCACCTTTGGACCCAGTATTTAGTCTTGTGAGGAATGACTCAGTTAAGAATCAGGTGACATAAAAATTGAAGAGCCCAAATAGCTACCAACTAGGGATTGCTTAAGTGAATTATGGCATACACATATAATTTGCATTTATGAAACTCTTACTCTGTGCCAAACACTCTAGCCTGCTTATATTTAGATAGGATAATTACTCTGCTTGATGTCACAGGGATAAATAACAATGAGGTAGAATTGAACCCACGCAGGGCACCAGAGTCTTGCCATTAACTGTGCCTGACATAAACATGATCCATTTTCATAGGAACTAATGGGGAAAAAAATCCGTTTCCATTTACACAGAAAAGAATCCAAGGTTATATATGAGGGTGCTTCAAAAAGTTCATAGATGTCGGGTGGGCACTGCAGTGCAGTGCTTTAAGCCCCTGCATCCCTCATCAGAGTGCCTGGTTCCAGTCTCAGCTGTTCCATTTCTGATCCTCCTCCCTGCTAATGCGCCTGGGAAAGCAGTGGAGGAAGGCCCAGGTAAATGGGCCCCTGCACACATGTGAAAGACCTGGATGGAGTTCCTGGCTCCTGGCTTCAGTCTGGCCCAGCCCCAACCATTGTGGCCATTTGAGGAGTGAACCAGAGGTTGGAAGACCGTTCTTGCTCTCTCTCTCCCTTTCTCTGTCACTCTTCCTTTCAAATAAATGAAAATAAATATTAAAATAAACTTCTTTTAATTTTGCACTTTTTAAAGTGCCCTTTTTTTTAAAGATTAATTTTATTTATGTGAAAGGCAGAGTTACAGAAAGAGAGAGGGAGGGACAGAGAGAAAGAAATCTTCCATCTGCTGGTTCACTTCCCAGATGGCTGCAACAGTCAGGGCTGTGCCAGGCTGAAACCAGGCGCCAGGAGCTTCTTTTGGGTCTCCCACATGGGTGCAGGGGCCTAAGCACTTGGGCCATCTTCAAGTACTTTCTCAGGCCATTAGCAGGGAGCTAGATTGTAAGTGGAGCCATATCCACTAACATATGGGATGTCAGTGTTGCAGGCAGCAGCTTAACCTACCACACCACAACACAATGCTGGCCCTGGTATTAACTTTTTTTTTTTTTGAAAGGCAGAGTAATAGAAATAGAGAGAGAGGGAGGGAGAGAGCGAGCGAGCACACTTCCATCTGCTGCTTCGCTCCCCAACTGGCCACGACAGCCAGGGGCCAGGAACTCCATCCAGATCTCCTATGTGGGTGGCAGGGGCCCAAATACTTGGGACATCATCTGCTTCCTTCCATTAGCAGGGAGCTGGATGGGAAGCAGAGCAGCTTGGAGTCAAAGTGGCCAGCATCCCAGGCAGTGGCTTAACCTGCTGTACTTCGATGTCGGCCCCTCCTGACATTTTTTTTTAAAGATTTATTTTATTTATTTGAAAGAGTTACAGAGAGAGGTAGAGCGAGCAAGAGAGAGACAGAGAGAGACAGAGACAGAGAGGTCTTCCATCCGCTGGTTCACTTTCCAAATGGCTGCAATGGCCAGAGCTGTGCCGATCTGGAGCCAGGAGCTTCTTCTGAGTCTCTCACGCGGGTGCAGGGGCCCCACAGCAGCCTGGACTTGAACGGGCACCCATATGGGATGCCAGCACTACAGGCTGGGGCTTTAACCTGCTGTGCCACAGCGCTGGCTCCCCATTAACATTTTAACCATGACCAGTTCTGGATGGTAGAGTTCCAGAAATTTAAATTTTCATTATACTCTTCTTTACCATGTACAGTTTTTGAAATGACCAAGCACTAGTTTTATAATCAGATACAAAAATATCACAGTCATTGTTTATAAAAAGAAGACAGGAAAAGAAAAAAACCCATTGGGGGCTCAATTGGCACACTTTGTACTCCTGGGTCACAACAGACTGAGTCTGACAGTTAGAAGGCCAAGTTCTTCTATCATATGGAACCGACATCGTGACTTAATCTGTAAAGATAGTCGCAGGAAGAAGTTATGGACAGAGAAGTATTGTTACTGCTGGCCTTTAGAGAGACCTCTGCACCATGGGGTACTGTATTATGTTTTTAGCAGTATTTATTAGTGATTCTTTTAAAAAAGATTTATTTATTTATTTGAAAGGCAGAGTAGCAAAGAGAGAGGCAGAGACACACAGAAAGAGATATCTTCCATTGGGCTGGTTCACTGCCCAAATGGCTGCAATGGCCCAGGCTGAGCCAGGCCAAAGCCAGGAGCCTGGAACTCCATCTGGGTCTCCTACGTGGCTGGTAGGGCCCAAAAACTTGGGCCATCTTCTGCTTTCCCAGGAGCATTAGCAGGGAACTGGATGGAAAGTGGAGCAGCCGGGACTTGAACCAGAGCTCATAGAGGATGCTGGCAACGCAGGTGGCATCTTAGCCCACCACCGGGCCACAACACTGGCTCCCAGCAGTAATTCTTAACTTTTTCTGGATCATAGATCCCTTTGAGAATCTTAAGAAAGATAAACATCTTTTCTCTAGAGAAATATACACATATTTACAGGTTACATTCCTTTCGGCATAGATTCTGACTAAGAACATTTGTTTTATACGCTTGAGGGATCAGACACTTCCAATAGCTTATCTGATCGAAAGCTCACCCGTGTGAGATAAAAACTATTGTTAGCTTTCTGAGTGAGCTCCATGAAGTAAAAAAGTTGTTATCCCAATTTACAGACACGAATTGCAAGGGTCAGATAGGTTCAATATGTATCTAATCCAGCCTCAGCTCTCCTTTTACATGTGTAAAATGCCCCCAGGTCAACGTTCCAGCTTGAGGCCACACTCAAAAGCAAGGGGGCAGAGGAGATCTCAGAAACCTCCATGTCTCTCTAACTTCCTTGATTACAGCTAAGGAACCCGTGACCTCCAAAAAGAAAGGGCGTGAGTCTTAGTTCCCCGTCGCTCCTTACCCACCCTTCAGGGATAGTTCACGGCCAGCACCTGGCCAAGGCAGTGCCAAAGTTCACAAGAAGAATCGGAATGGAATCAGACGGTCAGTGGAGACAGTCTTTAGCTGCATTACTAGAAAGAAAGGAGGGGTGAGGGGTGAGGGGTGGGGGGAGGGGAGAGGAAATGGCAGGTAGTGGCCGCTGGGTGGACTCCCACGGCAGGAGCAAGTTTAGGGCTAGTCCTGATCCGGGAGCGATTGCTGGGGATAAAAAAGCAAAAAAGCAGCAGGAGTATGAGAGCTCTCCCTTGGGCTCACGTGTTTTCGTTGAGACCCCTCCATTCCCCCAAACACACTGAGACAAACACACATGGAAAAACGACGGGAAGGAGACACCTAGTAGCTGATACCTGATGCAGGATTCCGGCTCTGCCTGGCAGTCAAGGTTACATAGGAAGCGCTCCCAGTGTAGCCAGCCCATGGTAGGCGTCCTCGCCAAGCCATTGTCCAATGCCCTGGCCCCAGGGACGCCCCAGAAAAATAGGAAGAGGAAGCGAAGTGCAAGCAAGCAACCCCGCCACTGACGTCCGCGTCCCGACTTCATTGTCACGGTGATCGCACAGTGCAGATTTCTGTAGGTAAACTGGCTTTTAAGTTGAACCTTATGGGCGGACCAATCATCGAGAAGCTATTAAGGAGTGACGTTATTGTTTCTCCGGCAACTGGGACGGTTATCCCCGGAGGCGGGCCAATGAGCGGTCACGTAAAACGTACCTGTAACCAATCACACTCTTCCTTTCTTGATACTGGCCCGCCCTATTTCCATACCAGAAGGCAGTGCGCCACTTTAGTGATCCCGGGTTTGAGCCGAGAGTTGCTCACGTGACCGAGATCTCACATGACGTAGGTGCTCACGTGATCACTCGCTTACGTGAGCAGAAGTAGTTCTGGTCGTCGTCTATCGTCTCGCTATAGCCGTTTGAGGGAAGAAGAAGGAAAATTACCCGGTATCATTAGAGGTTGGTGTGTAGGTGGGAACTGGGGACCCGGGGAGGTGGTGGTGATGATGAAGACCAGAGCGGGGTCCGCGGGCCGCCTCCGCCTTTTTCGTTCTCTTTCCCCTCCCCCCTCCCCCTCCCCCCTCCCCCTCATCTCAGTGCCGGGAAGCCGCCTTTGCTGCGCCTGTTGGGGAAATGGTGGACGATCATGATTGTGTCTGTGTTTTTGTATCTCTCTCTGACTGGGCCGGTTTCAGGGAGCCCCTAAGAGGGACCGTAAGGGGAAAACCTTTGAAAACCATGGGCCCGAGTTAGGAGAAAGCGGTGGTCTGAGAACGGGTCCATCCATCCCCGCGCTCAGGCGCCACTGCCTGATTGTCTGTGCCGGGGGGAGGCCCCAAGTGAATTCTGTCTGTAGAGTCACATCTAGGCAAATGCTGCGTGCCTGGCAGAGGCGCCCGAGAAGTGCTTATCCTGAATTAAGTATTTGAACAGCGTTTATTTTTCTGCTTATACCAACAACCCACATGCTCAATTTCGAACGTTCTAAAAATAACAATATACTTTATACATTTTTTTTAAAAGACACGTAATTCACCACTCGGAGGTAACAACTCAACCTCGTGTCGTTATAGTTTTTTTTTTAAAAGTATGTGTATAGCACACATATTAAATACACAGATTGTTAACTCACAAATGAAAGCCCGATTCCTACTTTGGGCAAAAGAGTCCCGGTGGCCTTACCCACGAGATGTAGAATTGAAGCAGAATCTCCGTGCCGCTACCCAGGGGGCTGGCTCTGGAGCCGTGGAGCGCTGCAGGAACGTTAAATGGGACAGAGCGTCTCGGGGCTAAGACAGGCGAAAAGCCAGTCCGTAAATCTGTCACCGAGACCTAAGGATGGTTTAGAGGAAGACTGTTAGCACTAGAGATGCAGCCACATAATAAGCGACTCGCGTCGGGGAGTCGCATCCCCATTGTAGTTTTATGGCAGTTACTACACTTTGCACTTTCTTTCCAAGAGGCCCACTGCGCCCAGGCGATTTCACATCAGGCAGCCTAGCTACAGAACTCTAACGTTTTATGAAATTTGTTAGACCAAGTCCCAGAAAAGCAAACATTTTAATTTGTTTTTGTTACTTTTTTTGGCTGAACGAAATGGTTATTTTCTGCAGAAAATTAGGAATGCACACGAAATTTAAAAATTAAAATGGGAAAAGCCATAAACTCAGAGTAATCTCTAGTAACATCTGACATAGTCCCCATGCATCTACGTTTCCTAAAAATTTTTTAATTCCAATACAGTCAATTTAAATGACTATAACTGCATAGAGGTATGTAACATAAAAGGTGAAAATCCTCCTTCATTTCCTCAACCCTCCAGTTCTCAAAAGCAAGTTTGTATTACGTGCTTTGGGATTCCTGCTATGCATTTACATACCTATATACATGCATGCTTATATTTTAATGTAACTAGGATCGTGCTATGTAAATTCTTTTAAGTTTTGAGATCTTTTCTGGATCGGGGCAGATTTTTTTTTAAAGGGCTGCGCAGCATTCTGTCTTAAAGATAAAATATAATTAATTCAGCAATCCCCCTATTGATAACTATTTAGATTTCTAATTTTCTGCCATTACTAACAGTGCCTCAGTGATCATTTGTAAGTATTTCTCTTGACCAGATTCCTGGAAGGAATTCTAGCAGGGTCAAGGGGTATGTGAATGTTTGTTTATTTTTTACATAGTTGAGGTTATCAAGTAGCTGTGATCTTGCATCATTTAAAGATAGTAGCATTAGTCATTTCTTTGGTTCTTATTTTCTAAGTTTTCAATTAAATGGGTTCTCCGTTTTTCTTACTAAAATACGTTTCAGTGAATATAGTTCTGTAAATCTTTGTCTGAATTACAGGTCATTTGTTCGGGGCACATAACTTGAAGTGGATTTCCTGTCGCATTTGCTTTCCAGAGATAGTGTATCAGTTTTCACTCCTAGTAGAGTATTAGTTTGTGAACCCCGAATAGCACTGACTTACTATTACTATGTAATTTCTACTATCTTGATGGGTGAAAAATGTTGATCATCTGGTTTTAGCTTGTATTTCTGATGATTAATGACGTTTGAACATTTCCCAGACTCCTCTCCTGTATCTTTCCCTATACCTCGATTCCCTCTATATTTAATGTGTTATCCAGTCCCACAGATGTTACTTTTTTGATATGTGTAGAACACATCTTTCTTCCCTCTTTTACTGCTGTTGTGTTAGTGAATCCTTTAACATCGCTCCAAGAGCTTGTTGGAACTAATCTTGCCTGTTTCACCTCAGTCCCCTTCTGATTGAGTGCCACACTGTTGCCAGGGTGATCTGTCTGGAAGGGTTATGATGACGTCACTCCCTCACTCCCCCGTTTAAGACCTGTAAAAAGCCCTTAGCATTTGTATATCAAATAAGGACTTCAGCATCTGATCTCTGCCTTGCCAGCCTCATCCCGTGCTTTGCCCTCTGCTATTTTATGTTCTGTCCGAATTTTTAAAATTTGTTTATGGATCCTTCAAGGGATTCGTCTGTTTAGTTTAACTGTTCTGCCTCCAGCTGATAGAAATTGATAAACTAGTCCCTGCTATATACTTTCCTTATACCCTGCACCAAGTTCTGTTGTAACAGATACAATGTATATTTGCACTTTTATCTTTAGTGAAGACATACAGTGCCCCATAGGACCCAAAAGCCCTTTCTGGGTTTATTGATTCTTGTATGCCAGACCCAAGTACCAGACCTGGCAACAACAACAGAAATGTTGGTAAAATGAAAACTTGGACTCCCGATAATGACTTCTGTCCATTTACCTCTTAGATCTTAAGATTGCCCTGATTGACGTTGCATGAGTTCTTTATGTAGTCAGGATAGTAGTGTATTTGCTGCAGGTGTCTTCTCAGGTGTGTTTTGTTTGTGAAACAAAAATCTCCCATAATCCTACCATCCAAAGTAACCACCATCAATAGTCCCCAGTATATAACAGGTATTAAATAAGTCATTTATGAATGAGTGAATGAGATCAAAATCTGTTGTAGTCTTTTTACTTATACAGATGTCTTTTACGACGCTTGTCAGCATCATTGAATTTTGTTTTAGTAGTTTGTTCTTTTGTCTTACTATGTTGTGAACATTTTTCCATGACAGTAGTCTTCTGGTTTATTTTGCAGTTCCACTGAAATTACATTGAGCCAAGCTTGCCACCAAGAGCCCAACAGTCATCATGATGCTGAGCACGGAAGGCAGGGAAGGGTTCGTGGTGAAGGTCAGGGGCCTACCCTGGTCCTGCTCAGCTGATGAAGTTATGCGCTTCTTCTCTGATTGCAAAATCCAGAATGGCACATCAGGTATTCGTTTCATCTACACCAGAGAAGGCAGACCAAGTGGAGAAGCATTTGTCGAACTTGAATCTGAAGATGAAGTGAAATTGGCTTTGAAGAAGGACAGAGAAACCATGGGACACAGATATGTTGAAGTATTCAAGTCCAACAGTGTTGAAATGGATTGGGTGTTGAAGCATACAGGTCCGAATAGTCCTGATACTGCCAACGATGGCTTCGTCCGGCTTAGAGGACTCCCATTTGGCTGTAGCAAGGAAGAGATTGTGCAGTTCTTTTCAGGGTTGGAAATTGTGCCAAATGGGATGACACTGCCGGTGGACTTTCAGGGGCGGAGCACAGGGGAGGCATTTGTGCAGTTTGCCTCGCAGGAGATAGCTGAAAAGGCCTTAAAGAAACACAAGGAAAGAATAGGACACAGGTACATTGAAATCTTCAAGAGTAGCCGAGCTGAAGTCCGAACCCACTATGATCCCCCTCGGAAGCTCATGGCTATGCAGCGGCCAGGTCCTTATGACAGGCCAGGGGCTGGCAGGGGGTATAATAGCATTGGCAGAGGAGCTGGCTTTGAAAGGATGAGGCGGGGTGCCTATGGTGGAGGCTATGGAGGCTATGATGACTATGGCGGTTATAATGATGGGTATGGCTTTGGCTCTGATAGATTTGGAAGAGACCTCAATTATTGTTTCTCAGGAATGTCTGATCATAGATACGGAGACGGTGGGTCCAGTTTCCAGAGCACTACAGGGCACTGTGTACACATGAGGGGGTTACCTTACAGAGCCACTGAGAATGATATTTATAATTTTTTCTCGCCTCTTAATCCCATGAGAGTCCATATTGAAATTGGACCGGATGGCAGGGTTACTGGTGAGGCCGATGTTGAATTTGCTACTCATGAAGATGCAGTAGCAGCTATGGCAAAAGATAAAGCTAACATGCAACACAGATACGTGGAGCTCTTCTTGAATTCTACCGCAGGGACAAGTGGAGGAGCTTATGATCACAGCTATGTAGAACTCTTTCTGAATTCTACAGCAGGGGCAAGTGGTGGTGCTTACGGCAGCCAAATGATGGGAGGAATGGGCTTATCCAATCAGTCCAGTTACGGGGGTCCTGCTAGCCAGCAGCTGAGTGGCGGGTATGGGGGCGGTTATGGTGGTCAGAGCAGTATGAGTGGATATGACCAGGTTCTGCAGGAAAACTCCAGTGACTACCAGTCAAACCTCGCTTAGGTAGAGAAGAGGCATGTAGCAGCTACTATACAGAAATAAAAGCTGTGCATTTATGGGAGTGGAATAGAGTGGGAGGGATGTTTA